CGCGTTCGAGTGCATGTTTCTGAGTCCGTCTGCCCTGGCATTTCAAATCTCGCCCTAGACTGCTGAAGTGGGTGCCCCCTATGCCCTGGCGGAAATGACATTCTTCAGGGCTTTGGATCCTGCAACCCCGAAAGCCAGGCTTATAGATGCTCACAGCAGCTCCAGCCAGTGCCAGAAATCCTCACAATTAGGACCGCTGGAGTATTTTGAAAGGAGCTACTGTCATCTGCAAGCCCCCTCATTAGATGTGACTCTTTTTCTGTTCAGGTTTCAGGCAACCCTCCCATTTCAAGCGGAAGCCCAGCTCGCCAGCGATATAGACTAAGAGGCTTATCATGTTGCAGCAAAAAAACTCACCTGGGTTCAGCAAAGATGGTCGCAGCCAGGACACGGCCCCATCTGCACCTGCAGAGGCCCCAGCACCTGCGCCAGCTCCGGCGCCAGTCCCCACTGAAGCTGCGGAGCTGCCCAGGACGAGTCGTGTTAAAAAGTTTCATGTCGGAATTCCTGGGTGGAAGAAAGCAGCAGCTTCAGTCACGCGGGTTGGACGCCCATGTCAGGGCTGTACTAATGGGAGATCACTTCCGATGATGTTTCGCATTTGCAGATTGCATTCTGTCCGTGCGTAGCAAATCTAGCCTCCCTTTTGACAAGCATCCACAATTGCGGACCCCGATATAGACCCTCATTATTGGGACCCCAATAGTACCCCTAATTTAGATAAACCCCCAAATAGGTGCACCAACGGCTGGCTTCGACTACTGACATCAGGACCCAAGGCTACGGCTCTGCACCAGAGCCTGCCATTGCGCCTGCCGCGACACCTGCCGCGGCTCCCGCTGCTCCACCCCAAACGGATGCCCAGGACAGCATCAAGCGTAAGAAAGGGTGGGATCGCGAGGTGATTCAAGGATACCGCGGGGATCAGGACGGGGTTTTGTAGGGTGCGTTATAGCTCTCCTGAAAACGTCCGACGCGGACTTGCGGTGCGGTACGGACAGGCAAAAGGTTGCCTTGCAAAGCCTTGTGCATGGTAGATGTCACATGGCAGATGGTGCAAGCTTTCAATGCTACGTCGGGAGGGAAGGCTTTCTCGTGCATGTTAGTTGGCAAGGGAGGTGACTTCTCTATGAGCTGAGCCAACTGCGGCATCCCTATAAAATCCCTGTATGACCCTACGTTCCATTTCATTTTCCAGCCACTTGATCCACCATTATCTACATCCCATACAAACCCTGTACATCCCTATATAGCTATATAATCCCCCTAGTTTCCATTTCGTTTCTTTTCCACTTGATTCTCCATCATTGGGATGATACCCAACCCTAAGCCCAGGATGCCCATAGTATCCCCATCGTATCCCTATAACATACCCATGGCATCCCTATAATATCCCCATAGCATCCCTATAACATCCCTACATAACTCTGTAATATCCCCATAGTAGCCCTATAAGATCCCTAGAATGTCAGGATGCCCCACCTTCTTCCGAAGTGGCATCTACACAGCAGGCCAGGATTGCAACAGTGGCACATTCGACTGCAGGGTGGCCTGCCACCCCAATTTGGGCACCTTGCATATGAGCTATAGTTTAAATTCTTTAACGGGAATTATATAGGGGATTGTATACAGGGAGCATTATGGGGTTAGTAAGGGGATATATAGGAGCGTAGATTATAGCTCATATGCTGTCGCACACGCTGCTCTTCTAATTCCTGCATATGCAATGCAAAACACCCAAGTCATAAAACCTTAAGAATGATGTCGCTACTAGCCAGGCCTGTAGTATAGTTTAGGTGGATAACCCACTCAGTAACCGTGACTATGAGGGATAATAGTGATTAAGATTAGGGTCCTCTTCGATTCCTGTTATAGCACTATTACGGGATGGGAGGTAAGCCTAAAGTATAGTCCCCAACATAGATGGATTTGGCTGAAATCCCAAACAAATGGCCATGCTGTTGGCCCCCAATATACTTTCCATTTCCTTTACCATGTTCTTTTCCACTTGATGCTCCATTCTTGGGTTAATATCCCTACAGAACCCCGTAATATCCCCACACTATCCCTGTAACATCCTATAATTCGGGTAATATCCCTACATTACCGCGTACCATCCCCTTACTATCTCGTCCAGGCACCTGAGGCCCACGCTGAAGGTCTCTTTGGCCGACTCCGGGACCCGAGACTGACTTCCAAATGAGTACAGTCCCCTTAAGTAGATAGAATATGGCTTTGGGTATATTCAAATAACATCTTCATATACCCCATTTTCTATCTACTTAAGGGCGACTTTTGTATTTGATTTTTGGGGATAGGTTTTTCACTGGCTTATGGTAGCTGTGTATCAGGACGCGATATAGACCCAAAATACCACAATCCCTAGTATGGGTACCTCCTGGGAGAAATCCCCAATTTATGGAAACCGCCATTTGTGGCTTGAAGCTGCGAAAAAGGGTTTCAAAGGCTTTTGTTATGGGAGCCATAAATTCGCCCAAGCAAAGGCCATGTTTCTAGAGCCTTCCTAGGTTTGAAGTGCGTTGTTGAATATCCGATCCTCTTTGTAATCCCTGGAAAACCACTGCAACCCGACTCCTTCAAATCTGGGCTACCTACTGTACTTACAGAGGTGTGATGTTGGGTCAGCTCGGGGGTCTAGACTGTCCTTCCAACATGTGGGCATGCGCTTGGGCACGTCTGTAAAAGTGTGAGAGACCTTAGTGTGGGCACATACTAACATCTGAGGTCAAGTGGTAGAAACCTCTTGACGATCTTCCTGGTCACAATTTGTTTCCATGCTGAACTGGGATTTACTTGGAGGGTCAGGAAATCTGGGTAAGCATACTCACAGCTCCCCCATAGTTAAGCCATATAACTTACAACGTCCCAAGTTATCTCCGTTGCTAACCTTCAAGTATTCTCCGTTACAAACCTACAAACTGATTCCCCCAGACTTCAAACCCTCAGCCACAGCCACGCATGACAGCCATGCATTCCATAGTTTAGTTATCGGCGCATATAGTGACAAGAGAATGACTGCGCACTGGTATCAACGCTTACTGGGTCTTTTTTGAGTTCTGTTACCAGCAATTGATTTGGGCGTGGTCTTCCGATGAGCGGAAGGCGCAGGGGTGCTAGAGAACTTAACTGCTCTTCTCCAAAAGCTGAACCTTCTCGGGTTGTATTGTCTGTAGCGGATTCTTACCTTGCACGCTGTATGGCCATGCAAGTTGCAAGAACCCCAATTTCCATGTTCTTTTCCATTCCTCCTATATCCGCCTTTCTGCTTCTGTATATAATACATACACACACATGAATATGCATGTGTATATATATATATAGATATGTATGCCCCCCCGATGTACCCCTCACGCATGGACTTTCACACATATACATATATTTACGTATATATATATACATATATACACACAGAAGCAGGGGTTGCAAAACAGACGCGCTTGGCAGGACAAAGTGGCGCCCACAGTGCAGCGGGTAGCCGAGCTCGAGCCAAGCTCCTAAACCAGCACGCGCTGTGGTTTTGGCTTAGGGTTTAGGGCTTAGTGTTTAGGGTTCAGGGCTTAGGGTTTAGGGTTTAGGGCTTTGGGTTTAGGGTTTAGAGCTTAGGGCTTCGGGCTTAAGGCTTCGGGTTTAGGGCTTAATTAGGGGTTAGGGCTGGGCCTTGGGTCGCCAAATGGGCCTAGTTCATTCCCCCATAAACATTACGTTGGGCCTTGAAGCTTGTAAGTATTACCCACATTGGGCTATGTGAATCCTTATGGATTCGGCTGATTGTTCTAGTTGTCAGACCTCAAGTTGCCTTTGTAATACCTCCGTACGCTCGCAGTGGCAGTGATGACAGTTCCACCTAAAAGCTGCCGGCCTTCATTTGCACAGCTCATTTAGCTGAATGTTGCCGGTTGTGGGACCTATGGTTTTTTGGGACAAATGAAGGAATCCTGCTTGCAGCTTGTCTGAACGCATCCGGGTTCGTACCTTGTTATGCTGCCAGAGCCACGCAAGTGTCAACACCATCGCGGGGCTGGCACTGGAATGTAACACTCCCGACCTGCAAAGGGACATACCAGAGTATACAGGGGAATGGAAACATGGAAGCTGTTACACTATTGAGGGTTCCGGGTTTACAGTAGGGCTACTCTTGGCCCAATGATGGAGCAGGAAGGGGAAGAAGTGGAGAATGAAGTGGAAACTGGAGTACACTGGGGTAGAAAAATAGTATTGATCCCCTCCCTGTAATTACCCCCTAAGCCCCCAAATTAAACAAGGCCAGTATGCTATAAAATGCCACCATTGGAATATTTAGTGTTAGGGATTTGGGGGTGAATGCTAGGAGGAGGTGATCTGAAACCTGGGATCATTTTCTCTGATCCCGTGCGTACTATACCCTACATGGCTTCTTCCATGTGTAAGGCCTCACCTTCCGACAATTAATGGCTTCTTCCCCCTGCCAGGCCAAGTCGCTTCAACGGCCAACTGATTAGTGTTGAAAAATCTTCTCATTGTTAGGGCAGCTGCCGCCCGGCAAGTGCCAAAGGGCATCCTATGAAAATCGACTTCATATGATAGGGCCACATTACAATCCTTACCATTGATTTCCATGGCGCAAAGCACAAGAGTGTTTTCACAACATTGTCCAGGATACTTCAGATGGCTGAAAGTACCCATGCAGATGTGGACAAATGACTTTGCAAACAGCACGGGTGCAGTACCATGGAGCTCTCTGTATACTGTAGCAGAGCACGTGGCAAGTTTCCATAGGCTGTTTCTACAAGCCTGTGCGATTTTTGCGCCATTTGGCATCTGAAGTGCAAACCAGCCATTGGATCATGCAAACCACATCGCTAGGCCATGTCATAGAAACAATAGCTTAGCAGTGTCAAGCCATGACATCATCGAGCCAAGGTCTGTGCAGAAGGGAGTCGAGAGGATAAAGGCGCATGAGCAGCCCTCATTGTAGGTAAATAATGGCATGTTCTTGTGAGATGTGTCTGTTGGCGCTGGGCGCTTCTATGAGTTTGCAGATTCTTGCAGGAAGTCTCCCAAAAGGTGGCAGAGAATGAGAAAGTTCAGCAGAGCGTGGAGTGGGCCAAGAAGCACGCCTGCCTTGTGCGAGCCAGCAACTGCTGCAGCATTGCTTCTGCAGACCACGTGCTGACATGGCAGGAGAGCGTCGGCGATAGCCGAGGATGAGCGCGTGCAAAAGGGGCTCGAAGTTGCCAAGGACGCTTGCAATGCTCGTCGGGTGCTGCCGGCGCAGAAGACAAAGTGCCAAGCAGCGCTATCGAGAAGATTTTGACTCTATGATCTCAGCTTCCATTTAGTTTTGCATTTTTCATGTTCCTTCCATTTGATTCTCCATGTTTGGCCCCTATCTCTACATAATTAATGTCCTTATATACACCGATATAGTGTTAAAGCATGGTTTTCAATCCTCATCTTGATTGTTCTGTCGCTGGTTGCAGGATTATTTCCTACATTCTTAAGAAGGGTTAGGGATGACCCCCTACACCCCTAATTAGGCATAAGGATTACAACCCCCAAAAAAGCAACATTACATGTAGGCAATATAGTACCATTGCATATCAGGGCAGCCTAGTATTGCAGCAGGCGAGGAGCTCAGTCCCAAAGTTGCTGGTAGAAGGACACTGGGAAAGTCGTCATGGAGAAGACCCAACAAGGCTTGGAAGCAGTCAAGGCGCTGAAGGGGGAGTTGGGAGTTGTATAGAGGGTTATCTAGGGATTTACACTGGGATTGGTGAATTCATTTTGGGAGATTTGGGGGTCATATAGAGATTATATCGGGTTTATATACGGGGTAGGGATAGTACTCCAATAATGGAGAAACACATGGAAGAGAAGATGGAAGACAAAATGGAAGCCACGATATCATGTCGGGTTCGACTAGATACGGAATATATGGGGTTCTATAGGGCATTCATGGAAATAAGATGGAAAAGAGAATCGAAAAGGAAAGGCAAACTGAGGGTACGTAGGGGTTCTGTTGGGGTTTGCATGGACTTTTGGGTACCCAACCCAGGGCCCTGTTGTAGTCATATGTAGGGTCTAGGATCCTGATTACAGGGGTTGGGATAACCAAAAAAAGGGATCCTGGTGCACAGAGGCCTGTGGTAGCAACCCCACAGCAGGAGAGGACGCGCGAATGGCGGGCTGGCGCTGGCACGGCCGATGGCCCAGATGTTCTCAACACCGCCTTGGTGAAGTAACTTCGCTGATCACAAGGGTTAGGTAGCAGTGTTGAGTATTGTTCAGGATGATCACGTCCAGTCACGTCATGTTGGGTTGCAAATTCTGAACTTGCAGTAGCCAGTTGCGCCCACGATGTTCCCACAGCCTCGTCTCTCTCATTCATGGAACTTTGGCCGCCCGTTTCTTTTTCCAGGTGTGGGAGAAGGGAGCTGGAAGCATACAGAGAATTCGAACAGAGGGTGCCGGCGCCTCAGCATGGGATGATGCCAGCCTGGCTGAAGGATGCTGAAAGTATGTTCAGACTTGCGACTGAGGTGGCAATCCCAGGATCCCTTCAAGGAACCCTGGGCGACTACAGTAAATGAATAAGAGGGCTTTAGTTACCTCAACCCCTGAAATCAGGACCCCATTAGAGTCAAGTTTTGTCATGTAAGGATGTAAGGCGAATTCCTCAATTAAGGGCACTGAGCTGGATGCACCTTTGTCCAAGGTTAGCGCCATGGCATGGAGAGGATCTGCACGAGACACCCTGGACATGGCAGCGCGGGAGGAGTTGAACTCGCGAACAGTCTCGTGAGCGTGAGCAAGAGAGTAGCTTCCAACAAAGAGAAAGCCGCAAGAACAACACCTTTACCACAGCACATACACCAGTCGAATGTAGTTGTCTCCAATCTATCAGCCATTGTTGCAGGAGCAGTGGAAAGACATCAAGGTGCAAGGTGCGCAGTAGTTTAGGCTGCCGCTGGTCAGACTCAATGGATGATCATGGGAAAAGGCTTCTTGCGTGAGCGCAGCGGGCTGCCAAATGCTGACAGGTGCTGAAGAGTTGGCGGTACCAGCACGAACGGAACACACATGTGCCACCTCTCAGAAGAAGGCAGCTGCAAATTTCATACGTACGGGCCAACTACTGATTCAAGGCGGTGTCTCAAGATATGCAGTCCGTGAATATGTCAACCATGACAACGCAGTACAGGTTTTGTGTGGGGAACGTTGAAACCAGCCGCCGGCAAATCCTAGGATTTACCCTGAGCCTGCATGTTCACTTTACACCCGCCCAGAATGGTATTGAGCGAGAGCGCAACATGATGATTTGTTCTCAAAATCATGCGCCCCTTTTGATTGTAGATTGTGTTACGGCGCCCAGTATCTAGGGGTACCAAAACGGGATCCTAATTTTGAGAACTACCCTGATTGGCTACAGTGTCTGAGGCGCCTATCACGTATCCAAGGGCTCCACTCTGCGGTGGACTTTCCGCGTGAAGGACATCACACATCAGCAGTGTTTTAGAAAGGAATACTGATCATATCCTCCTTTCTCCTCTTGGGTATAGTATTTCATGTACAGAATGTAATCTTACTTGGGTTCAGCCACACAGCACTACTTGCATCAGCATCCAGAGGGTGTCTGTGATTCCAGTAAGGTACGTTCGCAGCACGTAAGAGAACCACAATGCATTAATTTCCATTATCCCCAAACATCCCTTTATGATCCCCATACAATCCGTATAGAACCCGTAAGCCCAAGGTATAAGCCTCAAAGCTGCAGACTTAGATGCTGACCTCAGGATCATGACATTGGATTTGCGGCCTGCTTCCTGGATGCTGTTTTACTGTATGGGAGTTTCTGGGGGTTGATATAGGCATAACGGGAAAAGAAACGGAAACTACTACATCATAATAAGGTATCCATTGGGCTGATAGTAGGACATAAGGTAATTAATACGTATTTTATCTAGGGATTAGATTCCCTTATTCGCTGCTAACCACCTGCAAGTTTAAGCTGTTGGCACGTGCTATCTTGCAGTGGCTACACAGGGCGCAGCATGGCGCAGCATGGCTGCGACGCAACATGACTCAGGTGAGGATGCGAGTCCAGGTATGGGGAGGATCACAAGAAGAGGAGGCAGATTGTCGACTTGACAAATCAGTATGGACTCAGAGACACATGAGGCAACTACAGGCTTTCAGTCCCCATTTGGGGATTCCGCGCTGAACTCTTCTGAGAGCACGTGCAGCAGCAGCGGCGGGAGGGCGCACAACAACGGGATGCATCCTGTTTCGTGATTGCTGTGGATAGAATCTTGAGTCTTGCTTGGGGCCAGCCACACAGTGCTGAAGGTCACAAATCCAGAGATCCTCGCCATTAGGGTAGGTAAGTTATGACAGAAACAACCCTCAAGCCAAGCTGAGAGCAGGTGCTAGCAATGGAGAGATACGACAACAAAGATACCATCTCGGGCAGCTGGGTAGCTCTGAGCTCGGGCTACTCCCATCACTGCTGCAGGAGCCACGAAACTAATCGCACTGCTGACTGTGTGACTCCAGTAACCAATGCAAGTGATTGCTCACATCTCCGGCAACGGAGGGAACATGATTTCAGAACGAGATTAGTCCGAGACAGCCGTGCTGGACCTACCCAGAGTGCATGCCCAGGCAGACGAGGACAGGACTATGATCCTGGCTTTCGACAACCGATACAGGCTGGCCCTTCTGAGCACCGCCTTCTGATTTGCAGCTGCTAATGGGTGGACGGTGGACCTTGTGGCAGCGTAGTACTGCAGCCTTCTTATTTGTAGGCCCCTCTCTTAAGAACTTCCATGTTCCTGCCTATGCTGGTGTGCCGGCCAGTAAGCTGCGGGCCAAGACGGTGGCATACATTGCAGGGCACCCAGCTTCAGGAATCACCAGTGCACATCCGAACAGGACTGCAAGGACAGGATTATGCAGGGAGGAGCTTACGTAGTGCCCCTTGCTCCAGCATGGAAGTTAGGACAACAGGTGCAGAGAGCACGCCGGTAATAGAGTGCAAGCTGTCCAGGTTGGTACAGAAAAGCCCCCAGTCTTTGTGCCCCCGGCAGAGGCGCCTTTACCGGAGACTGCTCAGAGCGCGATGTTGTTGAATCTTGTGATTTCTTAGGCCAAATGGATGTGCTGCAGAAAGCTGTTCATGGAAGCAACTCTCATCTTCCTGTACAACAACTGCGGAGATGGCTTGTGAACCTATAAAACCTACATCACCTGATGTACTCCATATTACCCCCCACAAGCCCACGTACAACCCTTGTGATGCATAAGTCCAGGAGCCAGCACCTGCGCCCAGTTCCGCGCCCATCATTTAGGCCGGATGCTTTTGCGAAGCTGAGGTGGGCCCTCAAGCCTTTTTGGGGGATTCTAGGGACCCTTAAGCGTACATATAGGGTATAAGGGCATACAAGGGGCCCATGGTTTCAGCTTTAGAGTGAAAAAGCCGCCGCCCAGCGCTTATCGCAACAGCACCCGCATCCGACGCGGCGACCCCGTGCTTTAAGACATCCAAGATGGACCTAGATGCGAAACAGTGGCCTCAGGGATCCTACAATTTTCACTTGGCAACGAACGCAGGTGCAAAGAAGCTTTGCAGACATGCGCGTGTTTCAATAAAAACGTACCTCCACGTTAAAAAATCACCAGCCACGAAAACTCAAAGAAAAAGCCTCTGATTTTCTGTTGCTGGCAGTGCGACATCCATGTGAGCCATAATCTGACTACTATAGGGGGATATTAAGGGGGATACTAGCAGTTTAGACTGCAGCTCATGCAGGCCCATGCGGAGTTGGCGCTGCCGAGCTGCTTTCAATGAGCGAGCCTCAGCCAATCCACACCAAGGACCTTGAGTAAAATATAGTGGATATATAGGGATAATGGAAAAGAAAATAGAAACTACTATACTATGAAAGGGTATATATTGGGGTTATATTGGGGTTATATTACTTTGAGTTCTTCCTCTGCCACACATGAGCTCTGGTCTAAACTCCTTAAAGGGGGTTACATGGGGGATTATATAGAGAATTACTATAGGGGTTACTAAGGGGGGATACTAGGAGTTTAGACTATAGTTCACATGGGCTATTCTTCATATTTGTACTACTATTGTTACAGTACTTCATGCTGGTCTTAAGCAAGTGTAGGCAAGTGCTGTGAGTGCCGGCCAGGCTTGAAATTCCGCAGTCTGACCAGCACGGCAAGTTCAATGGCGTTTACGAGCGACTAGGAACAATCCCTAGAAGCTGAGTCAATTTCAGAGGCGAACAGGGGTAGGTTTGAACATGGATTTTGACTTTCGCTGTCCTTTATTTCCACATAGTCCTGAAAAAGCCATAAATACATTGAATGTTTACAGGGCCCCAAACCTACCCTAGTCAGAGGCAAACTGCCTCGGGCTTGTACAGGTTTCCGGTCAAGTTCCCTCTGCTCCTTCTCTTGATTCCAGAATCGGTTCAATAAATTTCCAGTGACGCCTCCCACCTGGACTGAGCAGAGCACTGGAAGCCTGTGCAACATGTGCGTTTCAACAACTGCTGGCACTGAACTCCTTTGCGATCTAGGCCTTCGCAGCTCCACCCCGACAACAGCTACATCATCCCGACCCAGCTGGCCTTGGTAGGCGTGAATGCAACAAGCCAAGCGCACTCGACAAAGACGCAACATCTGGTGACAAAAAGCTGCGCGTGCATACTGCCCGTGCTGTTTTTGGAAGTAAGGTGTCCCCTTCCAATCCTATAACAGGATGCCAAGCATCAGCCTGGCGGCCCGACAAAGGAACTCCATCTTACTTCTTCGTGGCCGGGTCCCCAAGTGCCACAGTACCCCATTGAGGACAGCCTGTCCAGCTGCAGACCTGTGGGTATGAGATTTTCACAGGGCAGAAGGTGCGGTGGAGAGTGGCCCTTGAAGTGACCGCTCAGGAGATGGTAGTGGCTGCACCTAGAGTCCAAATATCCATACTTAAAGCCTTTGTACAATCTTTTGTATAAGAAAAAGTACCTTGTTGCGAGCATTTCAGAGCAATCCCAAGCCTGACACCTTTGCCAGCACGGTGCTTGCTTGCTAGCGTCTGGCTCACGAACTTTGACAGAAGTTGAAAGCGCATCTGACCAAGACTGGCCTAAGTTCCAGGAAAAAAATAGTTTGGCCCATAGGCTTAGAAGAGACGGATGCCATGGATGAAGCAGAAAAGTGGCAAGATGTCAGTTATAGAATGATAGAAGCATGCTGATAGGGACATTCAGCCATCACTTGGACAAAGTTGGGAAGTTGGGAAGCTGTTGCTACTCCTTGCCACAGCAACCATGGGGCGCCTTTCCGTAGGCACCTCTGGCTGGTGCGGGCTGCATCCCAAAGACTTTGGGCGCCGATACGACATGGCAACAGCCTTAACATAGGGATTTCCCGTTTTTTGGCGGGTTCCCATACTGGGATAATGGAAAAGAAAATGGAAACTACTATACTATAACAGGGTATATATTGGGGTTATATTAAGTAATCGTTTTTTGGGGGGTTGAACCTATGTAATGAGGAATATGGTGTTTTGGGGGGTCTACATCGGGGTTTCCTTGTTTATGGAAACTATGCAGCTTCAAATTGAGTTCTGCGTCTGCCCTATTACAATCACACCTCGGGCATGATCAAAGCAACTGTGGTGTAGCAAGAGGCTGATCGATGCTTGGGGGGAGCTTCCAGCCTTCGAAATCCAGCGAGTTTGTAGGCCTCCTTGTAACCAGGCACCTCCTCAGTTTGTCATGGGCGGAGAAGTACCCTGTGCCGCCTGAGCCACTCACCCGTTTGGAAGCCAAGCGCGCACCTTTTCCAGGTTGAGTTCAACTGGACTTTCCATGAGCGCGACAACGATGCGGCGCATTACCGCAAGGCAGTCGGGTCCATATATGTTGCTGCAGAGAATGTCTCAACATCTCCCTTCCCAGTGTGTCTGCTCAAGCTTAGCCCCGTTGCGCTGATGGCTCCTCGTGCGCAAGTCCGGAAGCGCCCTAGCGGAGCTGCCCTGCCGGTGCGAAAGCCAGTGACCACGATGGTGTCCGAGCTGGTGACAGCCTTGAAACGGTCTTTTTCAGAGCACAGGAATGGAGCAGACGCGGCGTCCATGACCAAGTACGTGAGCCTCGGTCTGACAAGTAGAACCGGCTGGCTGGCTTTGATTCTGCAAAGTGATCCGGGCTTGAATCAGAACCTGCAGTTCTATTCTTCCATCCTGCCGCAGGAAGGGCAAATTTGTCTTCTACGGTCTCAAGGCGCCCTTGCGCCGACAGATTGCTGGCGCCGTCATTGCCTCATGGAGCCTTTGGCACATAAGAGATGACCTTTCAGTCAGCCGCTTGATATCTTTGCGTTTCAAAGGCTTGTAGCATTCTCACCGCATGAATGATACTGCTTGAGAAGGGTAAGGTTCACAGACGCAAGCAAGCGTGAACTTTGATTCTTGGGACACTTGCCGAGCGACGACTGTTCTTTGGAAAGTTCCAGACTTAGAGATACTGTGAGGCAAAGCGCGCACGGACAGCCGGACATGGAGCAGGTTGGCGGCCAAGCTTTTCATGTCGTACCAATGTGCAGGCACATGTATGCTGGTTCGCGTGGGCGCCTTGTTCCCTACTGAAATTTGAGTGAAAACCAGCTGCCTTTGCAAGGGCATTGCGCAAAAGCTCCTGCCAGCACTCTACTCTTGCAGCACGGCTTGCTTCAGTGGGGACGTTTGCTTTTATGTGTCCGGAAATTGTCCGGAATATTTCACACCAGGAGTGGGGGCGTCTAAATCTTCTTGATCAGGGAGGGAATGTGCTTGTGAGTCTGACAAGCTTGTTCAAGCACACGGACTAAGTCCTGGCAATGACGACTTTTCTGAGAGAGCAAGCTGCCTCAAGCAGACCTCAAATGACATTAGTACTAATTTAGATAGCTGGGGTCGTGCATGCAGGCCAAGAACGTGAGCTCCACTATGTGGGCGCAGAGGTGTGCTCTGGGCTGATGCGGAAGGGCCTTGTTGGCCATGATTTCCTGGATGCCGCTTAGATTTGTTTCAAGCACCCGTTTGCGGACAAATGCGTGAGCGAACCTTGTACTAGCAATTAGGCTGTGGTGTGTTGTCTGCTTTGAAAGATGCTTTGTTAAAAATGTGACGCTGCAGCTGCAGAGCAGCATTTTCAGGGCTTAACAGTCATCTGACTGGCAGAGATGGAGCTTGAAGGCATTTGTCTGTCTTTGTGTGCCGACGCCCGGTGGTAGAGACCCAGGTCGTGAAATTGGGCGTCACCACTAACAGCTGGTGGGATACCGTGGACATCTTTGCAGCATCGTCCATGTCTCCATACCTTCTGGCTTGTGGGGATGGCTCACCCAGCACCAGGCTCCTCCAAGAGATGGACAAGTGGGCTGTCTCAAACAATCTCTGGCTTCGCAGAACAGCCATCTTATGCCAACTGAAGTTGAAAGGGCAGACGGATCTTAAGAGGCTGGAACGCTACATCAGCTGCAATGCTTCTCACAAGGATTTCTTCGTGCGCAAGGCTATTGGCTGGGCTCTGCGTGAATATGCCAAGCATGACCCCAAGTGGGTCAAGACATTTCTAGCCAAGTACAAGAGCGAGCTGTCGGGCCTTTCTGTCCGTGAGGCAAGCCTCCATTTGAGCTGAGTAGACGCATTTCGCCAGAAGCGCCCATGGTGGCCTTATGGCATTTATCGTTGTGATGCCGCATCGGTGCATTTTTGCGTGGAAGACGCAAAGTGCCTTCGGCTTTAAGGAAGACTGGAAGGCTGACCACCAGCCCCCCCAACGTAGTGGTTCCAAGCGTTAGCGCTTTCTCTGCTTGACGTTTGGCGACACACGCAAAAAAGCAGGTTAAAGTCTACCTTTGGCACAGGTGTTGCCAGTGTTGCTCGTACTGTCTCGTTAGCGGGAGTTCCGTGTTCCTCTACATTCATCAGAAGCAGAAGCAACGGCCTCAAATATGCGGGCTTCAACGAGGTTCTGCAATCTTCTTGCTTCCTAAGGGCTTCAAGCCATCAATGGTCTGGCATGGTTTTCTAGGCTGTGCTTTGAGTCCTGGTACATTTCTGTAATTAGCATCTTGTAGTTGACGCTACTGTTGTATACCCCAATATCTTCCAATATAACCCCAATATAATACAGTAGTTTCCATTTCATTTTCCATTCTCCCTATATAACCCCAATATACTATGTGAGATCTTGCCAAGCCTGAACACAGGTTGCTTCAGAGCTTCGTGACCTGCGACTCCAAGCAGTGCTGAAGGTGGGAGTGTTACAGGCTGCACTTGCAAACAAGCCCCAAAGCCAAGAGAAGGAACCGGAGATGTTGCATGAAGCTGTGAAGCAATGGCTGCTTGGAGCATCTTTGTTTGTTTTGGTAATTGCGATGCGGATTGTTACGGGGTGAACTGCCTGCGCAAATTAAAAGGATGAAGGGACATTGTTACGAGGACGCAGCCAACACTTGTACCTCCAGCGGGTTTTCCACTCTGCATAGTCACTGTCATGCTACATGTGCTACATCATGCATGTTCCTAGAGAAAATCTTGAGGGGCTGACAACCAATCTGATGTCGCGTTGCAGCTGTTTCTCAAAGTATGTTAGCTGCCACACGGAAAGTAAAGCTTTGACGTGAATACATGGATCATGCTGGGGTGACCAACGCAGATTCTGCTTGAGCAATGCAGGCTCAGCGACATGTATGTCACGACTTTGCCAAAAGTGTATATACACATATGTATATATATACACTTGCACACAAATAACTGCATACATACATATATATATATATAGATACATAGATGTGTGTATATATATCTATGTACAACATACTGGTAGAGCCCTCAGGAAGCAATCCTGGCAACCAATAAGCCCTAAACTCTATAGTAGTTTCCAGGATATTTTCCATTATCCCTATATAACCCTTATTTTTCATCATACAAGCAGTTTCGCTTCAGATCTCTCTAGTTCTTGTTCTCCTTATCCTAACTGGCCGCTGGTAGCCGGAGCTCATGTGTTCATGTCCTCCTGGCGCGGGTCCACGCAGCGGTTTGAGGAGAGCACAAGATTGCTCCAGGCCACAGCGTCCAATCAGAGGTTGAAGCTTCGAGCTGAACCTTTGGAAGGGAAATCCTACTTCTGTAGCCCCATGTAGGCTGAATAGGGTATCCGGATTTGGGCGGATGGCCAGCCTCCAAGCATTTGGCTCATGGTTTTGATGTTTAGATTGCAAGCCATTTGGCCCAATGACGACGTCATCCGCATATGAGCTTGAAGGAGCATGGCCCCCAGATTACAGTGCTACATTGCAAGCCCGCTTGTTTGAAGCGTTGCTGGAGCCATGGGCCCTCCGTTGGAGAAGGAGATCGAAAAAAGAACCAAGGAGCCTTTTGCACTTTCGCAGTGACAGTTCTCGATCATTGGCAGCGGAAGTGCCCGAGGTTTTTCAGTGTGTTTGAAGAGTAAAACGGGCCAAAGCTAGTTTGGAGCCGACAATCATGAGGGAATTGGAAAAGAAAATGGAAACGACAGGGATTATAGGGGTTATTTTGGGATAGCCTAAATCCTAAACCAGGGGTCAGCCTAGCGCATGATACCTTTTGTCCTTGGAACTGCCCGTGACAAGGCGCAGCGAAAACAAGAAGCCCGAGAATCCAAATGTCCCGCACTGCTTCAGCCTGTGATAGTAAGAACAACAGTAATAATAATGGTAATATCAGTAGTAATAATAATAAGAAAAGCGGTACTAAGCGTAGTAGTAATCATAATAGCAATAACACTAGTAATTGCTGTCATAGCTACCCTGTGTCAGGAGCTGATGGCTCTGAGGGAGGAGCGGTTGAGCAGAACAAGCGGACAAAGCTGTAAATGGGGTTGCAGCATGTCTTGTTAGCTAGACTCAGCTAGACTCAGCTTGACTGCCCCCAACGGGGGTGCCCAGATGTTCATCCTTCAAGAATCGAAGGCGCTGCTTGCTGGAGGTTATTCCTTTTGATGTTGCACTGTATGGAAGCTCATGAGAGTTTGCTTTGCAGTCGCTTGCATTCAGCAAGTCTGGGGCAGCAGGAGCTGGAGGGTGAGCTGCAGAGCAAGGCCATGCCACATCTGGATCGTGCCGGAATTGCCCTGGATAAATTAGACACTCGGACAGGTAGTGGCACGTCCAAAGCCTCCTCCTTTTCCTCTTCCTCCTCCTACTCCTACCTCGACTGTGGCGCCAATTCCGGTTTCTGCGGTCTGCCAGGGTCGCGTGCTGACAAGAAAGCAACCAAGAAGTGCTATTTGCTGTGGTTTCCATCTTTGTTTGGTTTTCTGTGTTCCGTTACCCTCTCCCCTGCGCTCATTCTCTCACTGACTGACTGACTCACTCACTCACTCATGCTCTAGCTCACTCTTGCTGTCTCTCTCTCTTTCTTTCTCTCTCTCTCTCTCTCTCTCGTTTATGTTCTCCTTCAGACCAAGGGGAGCCCGCCCCTGCCTTACATACCCTATGATAATCTAGTAGTTTCCATATATATATATACATATAGATATATAGATATATACGTATTTATTTAGCATTGTTTATTCCCTTATTCCCTCCTAACTCTAAACCCCAAGGAGATGAGGGACATGGCCGAGTTGAAAAGCCTCGCCAAGCCTCAGGCCTGCTGGCCTGCTAAACAATCCGTAAACGCCACAGGTGCTTAGTAGGGAATAAGGGTGATATAGGGGCTATATAGGGGGTTTAGGGTTTAGGGAATAATTGGGGTAATATTAATATTGGGATAATGGAAAAGAAAATGGAAGCTATAGGGATTATGGGGTTTATATAGGGATGATAGGGGATATGGGGGCTAATGGAAAAAGCACATGGAAACTACTATTTCGGGTTTAGGTCTAGTAGGGGACTACGGTATATATATATATCTTTATATACTAGGGTTAGCAAACGCCACTGGTTTATCTTAATGGTTCTTAGTAGGGAATAAGGGTAGGGTTTGGGGTTTCGGGTTTAGGTTTAGCAGGAATAAGGGAATATGTATATATATATATAGATAGGGGTTCTATAGTGATAATGGAAAAGAGCATGGAAACTACTAGATTGTAATAGGGTATATGTTGGGTATATATTGGGATTCTATTAGGGAATAAGGAAACACAATTCCCACTATGATCCCTATCTTGTATAGGGGATTCCCAAAATTAGGGGTGGCTCTTTGGGGATCCCTATAATTTGGGCCATAGTATATTGGGGTCCCTCAGTTTTGGGAAACAACCATATTAATGTATTCCCATATTCCCTACTAAGGGCCAGGAAGTTCATTCACTCGGTAGGCTTCCTCGGAGTCCTGAACCCTAAGCCCTATATAACCCCATTACAGTAGTTTCCTTGTTCCTTTTCGTTATCCCCTATATAATCCCTGTAGAGCCCCCGTTTACCCCTATATAACTTCCATATAACCCATTATAAACGCTTAGCATTTGGCAGGAGCAGCTGAAAAAAGTCATGGCGACTATTGCTGCAGTCGTATACGACTTGGAGGCTGTGCCTGTCTGAGTGACTCCTGAACCCTAGGCCCTAAACCCTAAACTAACCCCGTGGACATGTCGGATGGGAAATCTTGCAGTTGGACCCGGGAGGTGAAGACTGAGGCCGACTGGAGAAAAAAGGTGGGTTCTTACCTTGCCGCCTGTCAACAAGGTAGCCAACATTTTTCCACGGCTGCAAATGTGAGGATTGTACTGAGTTTTTGCTGAAGGCTGTCGCGGGTGTGCACACAGCAGGCCACAAACTGCAATGCCAACTGATAAGCCATCCATGCGAGGGAAAGGCTGTGGGCGGGTAACAGAATGCCTCTTGCCAGTTCAGGTGTCGTGTGAGTCAGCTTCAACAGCATTTTAGATGGTGCAAGGCCTAGAATCCCAGAATTGAATCTAAGAACCGCAGGGCGGGGTCTATCACACGATATCGCCGTACAGTCAATGCTGCGGCGTTATGGACTGCGGCAAGTATTACGTCAAAGCACATGGGCAGCTTTCCAAAAAAGATCCCCCAAAGCCGTCAAAGAGCCCCAGTCAGTAGTACTTTGACTTTGTCCATTTTATGGACCCCGTAGACGGTACCTAGAATTTTGAGCACCCCCATATCAGCCTTTGGAAGACCTGTCAACATACTGGAGCTCCACGTGGCCTTCGACTTATCATCCCAACATGTACCCTATTGCAATGTAGTAGTTTCCATTTTCTTTTCCATCATTCCCCCTTAATACTCCCCCCTAGACCCTAAACCCTAAGCCCCTAAAGCCCTATAATCCACATACACCCCGGTTAGCTGAGTCCAGATTTTTCTGCCGAGGTTTCGGACCTCCAACAGTTCGACCGTGACGCTGATGGGCTTGTCAAAGTATGAGGTATGTTTGTACTTGCTTTTCGGTTTCTGGGTGCATGCAACAGATGTCTGCTGAAAATTTGTAAGCTTTCTTCCCGGGGAGCACGTCATCTGCTTAGGAAAAGCTCAAAGAGGGCTCAAGCCAGCTCAAGGAGCTTGAAAGGCATTGCGCTGACAAGGAGCTAAGCTTGGAGGAGATGGAGTCGTCTCTTGGAAGGAATTGGGTATTATATTTGGGTTGTATAGGAGTTACCTGGGGCTATATTGGGATGATGGAAAAGAAAATGGGAACTATTAGTTGGGGCTTACCGCATATGGTTGCGGATGAAGGGTTGTCCTGCGCACCTGTTTGAGGGGTGCGCGGTTCTTCTGAGGTTTGCCGGCCCCAGGGTCGCAAAGCTGCTCAACACGTGGATATGGGCGATGCATGAGTACGCACAGGTTATGAAGCCCATCACCCCCAGGATTGATAAGCTACACAAGATGGAGAAGGAGCTCGAAAAGCTTTATGAAGAAAAGAAGGAGCTTGACAAGAGCAAGCCTTCGTCTTGACCTATCCTTTGTGGATGGCACGCACGAGGAGATCTGGTCTCCTGACCTGAAAATACTTTGTTTCACCGCTGGACTCCACCAGGCGAAAGCTTCTGGAACAGTTGCCCCTCAGCTTTTGGATGTGTACATCCCGCTCTGACGTTTGTCTGACTACGCTGCCCGGCAAAACGTGGAAAAGGGCAATGAGCTTTGGCAACGAGCCACATTCACACTTTACGATGAGCATGGGCCTCGTGGGTGCAAGTCCCTCTGATAATTGTCTGTCTGTCAAGAGCGCACCAGTCAACAGATGCCGAGATTTACATCTGCTGCTGAGATTGCGCCCCCCAACCCAATGCTATAGTTTCCTGGATATGATAGAAATGTCAAATGTTGGCACATCAGGGAACAGATAGGAATTGTCGACAACGAGGGGGCACCTTCAGGAACTTTTTCGACATGTACCCCCGAATTTTGGGAACTTCCATGTCACAGTCTCTTACATTCCCTGGTATTCTAGTGGATGGGAGCCTCCCCTGTTGCCCTAACTCCTCGAGACAGGATGGAGTGGATGCAGTGAGCCAGGCCCCGCAGCTCCTCCAGGACAGCGGGAGGGGTGCTGGGGGAAGTGAAATTCTACTCGCATTTTGGGCACCCCAAACAATAGGGCTGTATTATACTAGTTGCTATAGGACCCCAACGCGAGGCTCCATGATTTTGACAGCCTACCATGGTGGTTTAGGCTTTGCTTTGGGGTTTAGGGGTTTTTGCTTTCTAAAAATGGGCTCCGACATTGCACAGATCCCGGACACCAAAAGGGTTGAGCGTTCGGGATTACATGCCATTTTCTGTTTCAGGGTTCCGTAAGATTCTGGCATGGCTTGCGCATACACGTATGCACGCCAGTCTTACATGATCTATGCAGTGCAGAGTCCTCCTTTCACAGACAGAATATAGATGAACGGCATGATGGCGGCAAGGAAGGTAGCCAGGGTAATTGTAAGATATTGTACGCCATCCGTATCACATCAGGAACGCGATGCGCATGATATCCGTATTGTTAGTGTGGCAACAAGCAGGTTGAGTCAGATGGAGGCCTTCTGGCTTTTGCATGGAAGAATCTCATGTAATCCCTTCCCCCTATTTTAAAATAATATTCCCCATTGTCGTATATTATAAAATATTGGGAGTATCGAACATTAGAGGGGTGGGGGGCTTGAAGATTAGGGGCAATCGGGATTATTCCCGACATACTTGTAGCATAACTTACATTTCATTTGTGCATGTACATGTACATGTACATGTACATGTGGCAATGACATGTCTCCCGTTTTGGCTTTCTCCGTGGAGAGGCTTGGTGCCAGTTCACGTCTTAACGCAGGCCAATGACAGTTGCCACTACGCATTTCATCATGTAGTTTACAGAGCTTGACCCGAAGTCCAATGTTGATTTAAGCTCCTAATAATAGTAATAATAATAGTAGTAATAATAATAGTAATAATAATAGTAATAGTTGATAGGTAGATTAATCCGCAGCTGCCAGGAGGGCGCCGAGGCCTTTGCCGAAACTGTCGCCTCCATTCCAGAAGCGGTCCAGGCAACCTGTTAGCAGGCATAGTAAGGAAGCTTCCAATAGGCTTAGTAAGTGACAATATGTAACAGTGTTACTGTGTTGGTACTTGGGGCTTAGGGCAGAGTATATGGTCTTTGTAGAGGGACTTGGAGGACATAATAATACCAGATGTGACCTTGGTGGCAGTGAGTCGTTGTGTTCGTCATTAGAGTAGCAGCAGCAGTAAGTAGGCGGATATCCCTTCTGAGCCACAGAATCATCCAAGTGATCTCCATTATTAACTACTACTCAGCCACTCTGATCAACCCCGTTTCCATCTGCCTTGCGATCTAGTCTTACATTACTCAAAGTTTTTCGGGGACTAAAACACCAGCACCCAAACCCTAAACCCCAAACCCGCAACCCTAAACCCTATAAACTCCAATTTTGGGAAGCCCCGCTCACCTCGCCAGGTCGGTGCCCGCCGCGTTCAGGAAGGTGGGCGTTCCTCAAAATGACCATTGTATTTTTGGGCATGCTTACGGTTCAGGGGAGGGGCTTACAGTTTGGGGACTGCCCACACCCTGACGAAGTCTATAACAGGCGACAGAATGAGGCCCCCCAAAGACACCAGGGAATCATATCGGGGCATAAGCATACTACTGCAGTATTTCCTTATACACGCACATACCTATATTTATACATGTACGTATGCACGTACGTATGCAAATACATGCATCTGTCATGCTTATACAGTGCTTATATGTACTCCCCTGATATGTGAGTGTAGTATCCTGGGGATATTCTCAGGGCCTAAACCCTAAACCTTAAATCCTAAACCTGAAACCTTAAACCCTAAACCCTAAACCCTAAACCGGGGAGGGGAGAATCCTCAAGGGGTGCTCTTACCATCTCCTTAGATACTCGTTACAGGGGGGTGAAATAGGGGTCTTTTTGGGGGAATTCCCGTGGCTGTTGCATGTTGCTGGCATATCGGGGTAGACCCCCATTCTTTGGAAAAATCCTATACACCCTGAACCCTAAATTGGATCCTGAACCTCATAAACCTCGGGTATTGCCCCCATTCTGTAACAGCTGGATAGTATTCATAATATATCTATATCTAGCCCTTAGTATGACCCCTAATGTAGACTGTGACAGCGCGGGGGCAATACCCAACCTGGACTCTAAACCCTAAACCTTCATATCCTGAACCCTGATATCGAGAAACTTTCAGGTCTTGCTGCTGTGGCCAGAAGCGTCTCGAGACTGGGTTGCTGTTAAGAACTTAATTCAAGTCATTTTAGTGCCCCCTAATAATGGAGAATCAAATGGAAAAGAAAATCGAAAATGCAATGGAAACTTGGGGAATAAAGGGATCTAAGGAAATTAATCTAAGTTACTATATCGGGGAAACCCTAGTATTTACTATGTATACCCATTATGGTAACTTAAATTAAGTCCCTGAACAGCAACCCAGGAGATCCTTCAGCGCAGGCCCATCCTATGCCCACCGTCAGAAGGCAAGATAAGGTTTAGGGGCTTGGGGGTTTAGGGTTTAGAATTTAGATTTAGGTGGGGACTGGGGGAATTCCATAAATCAACTAGGCGCCGCTCTTGCGAACTTTAGCTGCAGGGCCTGGCGGCGAACATGGCTCTTGAGCAGCGGTGTGTGTGGGGGTTTGTCCTCCGGGTCGGCGGTGTCGAGTTTAGGGACTCCCTCAGCGTATGGAGGGGGGGAGGCTGATGAGCAGCGCTATTACCTGTGACCCCAGGAACTCAGTCCGAGATGCCTATACTATACACTACCAGAGGCTTCCACGCCTTCTAGATAGGTCTGCAAACATCTTCCTTTTTTCATACGGTGAAATTAGGTCTGAACTTCTTCTCTACAGTTGTTGGACGAGTGTGTTTTGTCACAACGCACGAGGATCCCCACAGCTTCTGGACCCTCCATATCAGGGAACCCCGAACAAGGGTACACCGAATTTGGGGAAACCACTGAAATCCCTAGAAACCACTATTCACTCCCAGTTTCCATTTGATTTTCCATCTTCTGTTCCATCTCACGAGATTTCTTGAGCACAAGGAAGGAGACTATCTGGCTTGGGTCAATCCCCCAACCTGTAATGGGTACCACAAGGGATTGTTGTAGGTATATATGAAACTAAGGCTCAGGCCCTATGAATTCATGTTAGCTCCATATTTAGGGGCTATTACTGTAAGGAGATTGACCTAACATCTCGCCTTCTTAGTCAGGTTTCCTCATGAACCTCGCTTGTTGACTCTGCAGGCCGAGGAGCGAGCGGCAGCACGGGCTGCAAAGGAAGCTGCCAAGCAGTACCAGAAACTACAGTGGACTGAGGCCAAAGGGTTTGGAGTTCAAGGGTGTAGGGATTGCGGCCTTTGGGATTTCAGATTTGCTGAGTTCATGTGGAGGCCATGGAGAGAAACCTTCAGATGCTGAAAACCATCATGGAGCACCGCCGCAATGAGATCATGCTCGCAGAGATGAGCAAGGAGTGGGACAAGAAGGCGTCTTTGGAGGATGAGCTGAAAGATTTGAAGGTGCGCCAGGCTAGGCTTTCATGTGCTCTCTGGGTGCAACCGGAAGATCTCCCCAGCTCAATGCAGCTTCTTGAATCTGAGAACCCTCAGCAGCTACAACGAGAATTGGAAGCGACATTGGAGAAGCTGGGGTTGGTTCCACCTCGAGGCGCGCTGGATGCATGCCAGCTTGTTGCTCCCACTCTGGAGCAGGCGCATGTTATCGCAGAGACTAAGAGGGAGCAACCACCTACGACGCCCATGGCAGCTCCTGTTTTGGAGGCACCCGCTCCTGTTCCGGCTTCGGCAGCTCCCAGCGCAGCAGACTCGCAGCAGCAGACGTTGGCCCTAAGCGGGCTTAAGCTTCCACTCCGATCGCTTGCGCAGCCAGGACAGGCCGAGTCACCCTCCAAGCATCATCCGCACAGTTCGGGGCAGAGAGGCCCACGGCCTCAGACACCGCGTCGCACCTCGTCTGGTCAGAAAGGCAAGGAGGGCAAGGGCGGGAAGCCCGTTGGAGATGTTGGCAAAGGGTCCACAGTGGCCTTAGGGTTCAGTGACCCACATGGCAGCGAAAGCAAGAGGTTCATTGAAGTTTGCACTGATGAGGCGGACAGGGTTGCTGACACAAACACGAGCGGTCCTGGCAAGGGCAAGGGGATAACAGCACCTGGCAAAGGCAAAGGCAAGAAGGGTCCCCCAATGCCCGGCTCTGCTCTTCCTAGCGGTGAAGTTGCTGGAAAAGGCAAGGGAAAGAAGGGACCAGCGCTTCCCGCTGGCAAGGGTGGTCGCATTCGGAAGGTGACCCCTTTGGGCCGCCGGTTCCACTGGAAAGAACTACCGGCTGACAAGCTCAAAGGCACAGTCTTTGACGACATCAACTCCTCCAACAGCTTAGAAATGCAATTCGAGGGGCTGAAGAATTATTTTGCAGATGATGACGAATTGGGCAAAACGCCTGGAGCAGCGGCAGCCAAGGACGCAAGTGCTATAACCAATGTATAGTCCCCATAAATTCCCCGCAATATCCGCAATAACATAGTTGTTTCCTCTTCTTTTTTACTTTATGTAGTTTAAGCCAAAGTGCCAGGATGTGCCAGGTGTATCTCTCGGCCTGCCAGATTGCTTGAGGGCTTTCGAGTGAAACCATTGCAGAATCAGCTTGAATGCCACGTACGGCACATACTGTAATGCTGGCACCTCACAAGTACTTGGCTTCATGCAGAAAGGAGGACAATGCCCCCATCACCGTTTTCGAGAACTCCCGCACTCAGAACATCGCCATCGTTCTTCGTGGCATTTTTGGCCAGATGCCCACTTTGCAGGTGGCCTGGGGGTTTGTCTCCAACACTAAAGCCAGATCTTGTAGCACCTTGACATAAAGCGTGTCGTAGGTGTTGACATGAATCATGGACAAGTGTATTTACACGCACAGTGTAGAGCCCATAGCAGTTGGCATGAGGCACCCAAGCCAGACTCCATGCGAGAGCCTCGTCAAAGCAACAGTCCCATAAGGTCAACATGCCTCGCTCAAGTCGTTTTGGACAGAATGGCGCTGGTAGAACAAATTAGCTAGTCAAGTCTGACGCTGCTTGTTGCTGACGAAGGCGTTGATCGGAAGCACGCGCGCCCCGTATACTGAGATTTCTAGTCTTGAGGAAAAAGCGGCCACGGACAATAGCAGCAACTGAAAAACCGCACTTGGCAATAATCAGCGGCGTGCTGCTTGTGATGGGCAGAGCGATGCTGAGATGCATCATCATGCGCATTTATGCTGCTGCCTTCATTCTGTAGCCTGGCCCCATATGGTAGCTTCCCAAAATCAGGGTCTCCCCAATATAGACACCCCAACCAAGTACTACAACCCTTATTATCATAGGTACCCCCCCAAAAAAGGTACCCATCCCCCATACGACCATTTTGCAAGGAGACAGAGGCCCTGGCTGCAGGCTTAGAGGCCGTGGACGCCACACGGGCAGGGCCGGTGCTTCGGCAAAGAAGGTGTTAGGGTTTAGGGGTCATGTGGGTGGTTGTCAAAATTATGGTCCCTTTTTGGGTACCCTAAATATTATGTGCCGTATTATAATAGGGACCCGAAAAGGGACCATCATTTTCACATCCACCCATGTAGGGACTACGGAAAGGAACATGGAAACAACCACAGCACGGGGGACTTTATAGGCATAGTATAGGGATCAGGGTTTTTGGATATTACCCCAACGGTGGAGAGTCAAATGCAGAAGAGAATTGAAAGTCAAATTCAAACTAGTAACCAGGTTTATAAAGGGTAGGGTTTATGGGGGCGGGTCTATCAGGTGCTTGTAGGGCGTCTTTGGCGGATGGGTCAGATGAGGCAGAATATCGGGATTCATTGGATCTTCTGCGTGAACATAAAAAGAAGACCTTATAAGGCTATCAACCATAGATTCTGAAAAGCAGTGCAGAAGCGGGGTCTCAGGCGAAGCTTCGAGGTTTTTTCTGGTAATGGAATCGCGGGGGTCGCCGTGGAGAAGCAGAAGGTAAACCAGTGCTCGCTAGTGGGGACTGTCCAAACTGGAACCGGCCATTCAACACACTATGCGCCTATGGAAAGCCATACTGCAGGTTGCGCACTGCTTGGATGCCGACCGCACCGGGCTGCTGCCCACAGCTACTTGACAGGAACCAGTAGGATGCGAAGTGGCGACCATAGGATCGGCAGATGTCAGGACACGGGAAGCGCTGATGCTTGACATTGAAGTTGTCTCTCGAGGCAATGCCCACAGCCGAGGAGGCCCAGAAAGACAGAGGAAGGGTTTGCGATTTTGCGTAGCCCAAGCACGGGATATCGCTGAGCAGGTACCTCGGAGAACCGTCTCCCATCTAGTTGTGAGCATATACATCCAACACCAGGACTCAGCATGATGCCTTGCTGAAGAGCCAATTGGCTGTCTCAACGCTCTGAAGAGCTTTTCAAATCCCCTTCCTTCACTGGGCACCAGGCGTTTGGGCAAGCATCCAAATCCTTACAAGCTGTAGTATCCCCTGTTGTAACCCTTATAATACTCCCCTATATAACCCTAGCTCACTTGAATGAAAGGCCGTCCAGCTTCTGTCTCATCCGCCGGAGCGGCTCAGGAACATCGAGAGGCTGCTGGAGAATGAAGTTCTAAGTGTTGAGAGAAATCATATTCCTTAAAGGGGGTTATATAGGGGACTACTATAGGGGTTATTAGGGAGATAGTGCCCTTCATAGCTTTCCAAAATTAAAGGCCCCAAACCCTCTCAGCTCGCCTCTCACATGTCAAGGGCTAGGTTTAAAGAGTTCGAGCTTGAGGCTTTGCCCAGGAGGTTGAATGCTCCGGATTCAGGCACTGAGGACGGGGTTTAGCAATGTGAGTGGCTTGCCGATTCCAGGTGCAATGGTTCGGGGCTGGGAAGGGCACTAGTTATCAGAAACATGCGCGGCAATGCGTCCAAGAACGTTTTGCAAAAAGTAGTTGTTCAGTTTTATGCAGGGCACTGTCGCGCTACGCTCGCTTCACGCGGAAATTGCACCCCTCAATTCGACCCCAGATGGCTTCATGGAAAAAGGAAGCAACAAGGGAACCCCACATACATATCCCCAACAGCATCGGCCTTTTCAGCACACTTGCGATTGCCATGACCATCACTTCCAGTATTACTTGGGTTGGGCCCCCACCAACTAATAGTGGCATACTCGGAATATGTAAGGACCTTGATAGAAGTACCATTACCTCTTGTGGTCACTATTACTGGGTGAGGGCCCAACCTAAAGTATTACCATGCTTGCTTGCCATCAGGCTGGTCCTGCCCCTGGCGCAGATAAAGCGATGCCGGGAGCGGGTGCGAGCAATGAATCTGTCTGCGAATGCTGAGAGAGATGCTGCCATGCTGCAGGCCAGAGGTTGCTTCAGGGATCATTGACCATGGACGGAGTTGTTCGCTTGATATCGGATGTCACAAAGATTTTCCCTAAACAAGGCAAGGATGATAATGTTGACTTTGCAGTAGGGACTCGACCCACACTTCAAATGCCGCCGCCAGAACACAACTATAACAAGACTCACGGTTACAATATTCCCGGAGAATATTAGCGCGGCAATGATTCCACTTAGATCTGAGTTGATTCAGAAAATGTCCAAACTATGTTGTGGGCCCGTGGGCAATATCATTCCACAGCCCCCCCCCCTCGAAATGGAGGGTGATCAATCAGAGGGGGAAGTGCAGAGGGGGGGGGGGGCCTTTATGCGAAGCCATCATTAAAGGGAGCCTTTTTGAGGCTCATCTTGCTGTGGGCAAAGAGGGAACAATGCTTGTGACAGCAGCTGCATTGGCAGGCCCCAAAGTTGATGAATATGTATTAAGGCGGTCATGTCGACTAAGCTTCGCAACCGTTGACCACAAAAAGTAGGTGTGTATGTATGCATGCATGTAGGTAGGTATGGATGGATGGATGTATCTGTATATGCACAGATAGCTGCTTGAGGCTGCGTGCGTGTTATTGTTTTGCTTTACTCGTAGCAGTTGAGCTCTACGTAATGTCCCACTGCTATGAAATTCAGGCAGCACAACTGGTCTTCAATCTTGCTCGGATTGGACATGCCTGAAGTTTGCGGAAGATTTCGTCGGATTGTGGCCAGTTGCGTGAGATGAAATCTGTTGATCATCAATGTGTAAAGCATGCCACGCATGCATTGCACTCACATGATGCGTGGGGTTTGCAGTGGCCTTGGGCATCCGTAGCACAGCTTGTCACGCATCGGGTACCATTCAGACCTGTGCATGCGGTCTGGCGGCCAGAATTTCGACACATGACAGGGCCGCCTGGATGCTCTAAGCACTGCCTGCAGCGCCCTTCGTGGCTCCTTGGCTTTGCGGCGCTTCTTGCGCACGGCGCCTCGTCGCAAGAGTTGGCAGCAAGGGCTGCGGCCATAGGGTTTGGCATGGCGCCCTTCTCCGGACTCTTCAAGCCATGTGCCCGACACTGACTTTAAATTTCTTGTTCTGCCCACATACGTGAGTATCGCGAGGTTAAGCTTACAGAGCATCGTGGGAGCCTTCGCAGGAGCATTTCAAAAATCCGAGGTGGCCAAGCTTGGAAGTTGGATCAACTCGTCCGACCCCGAGATGGAGATCCTTTTTCAGCATTCTAGCATCCATTTTAGCCTCGGGTTTGGGTTCTTGCAGTTACCAAAAGAGGCCTTGGGTGGTGAAGAAGAGGTGTGCATCAGTGCAAGCAATCAAGCAAACAAGGAAGGGCTTCGCAGTCTCTTCAGCTCTCGGCAAGCTGCGGCTTTTTCGCGCCTTGCGGAAGGATAAGGCTCAAAGCGGCTGGCTATATGGTGCCAGCTTTCTGCATGTTGCTGCAGCTGTGCAATTTGTGCCATTCACTCCGGACTGCAGCATGTGATTGCGAAACGCATCATATGGCAGCCTGATGCAGGCGGTGTCCCTTTTGCACATGGCGCTGCTGGCCGCGTCCGGCGGTGAGGCACATACAGCTTCATGCCATGTCGTTATTCCTGTTTCGAGACTTTTGCAAACTGTTTCGATTTCTTCGTTGGCTTTGGGCAGAGTAGCATCCACGGTCTTTTCCGCAGCTTCAGAACTCCACGTCAAAAGTGGTTAAAGAAGGCGAACCGAGCTTCTTTCAGGAATGAACGTGTCCATGCGCATGTGGAATCTTGAGAATGCTCATATATATAGAGCCAGCACACTGGGCAAAGCATGTGCGTGGGAATTTGCCATCCTTCTTACAAGATCAAAATCCTATCGCGGGCAGCCATGCAGCGTATGCTTAGGCTTTCCTTGGTCTGTTGAAGTCTAGCCGCTCAGCAGGTTCAACTAAAAGCTATTCAGGGCCATCACTCCCATACCTCTGACTCATCATTATAGTCCCCCCTAAGTAGATAGAATATGGCTTTGGGTATACTATAGTAATACTAATAAGATCCCCATATACCCCATATTCTTTCTACTTAAGGGGGACTATACTTCTATCTCAGTTTCTTATGTTTCTTGCTAACATTTTCCTTATCATCATCAGTTTGGGTTGAGCAGGTTGCCGTGCTGCGTGGACTCTGCACCAGCTTCGCCCTAGAGTTGCTGGGTTGCTATTAAGGAACTATAAATAGATAACCGTAAGGAACTATAAATAAATAACCGTAGTGGGCATATATATATATAATAAATAATGCGGCTTCCCCAATATGGTAACTTGAATTAAGTTCACTACATCCCTATATTCCCCCAGTTTCCATTTCATGTTCCATTTTCTTTTCCATTTCATTCTCCATATTGTCTGGGTATAATATAGTAACTTGAATTAAGTTCCTTAACAGCAACCCAGGTTGGAGCCCTTGGAAGCCGCAGCCCGGGA